CATAAGCCCATGTCCAAATGGGCTTTGTCTCACACCTCCTGTGTTATATAAGTGGAAAAGTTCTCCGTGGAGAATATACTTGTTTGTTTCCATTGGGTGCCTTGGGACACTCCCATCTGGGATAGCTTCAGGTTGACTCAGCACGAGTTTCCTTGGTCACGCCACACCGTCATTACACCTGCCTCGAAACTACCCTGGGATTGCACATCCTCGGGAGAGCAGGGATTTTCTCCTGAGCTACTCATTGTAGCTCTTTTCTTTCTGTTTTCTTGTTGATAGTGGGGTTTTGGTTTTAGGTTTTTGAGAAAGTTTCCTGGCTAGCCTAGAACTCTGTCTGTAGACAAGGCCAATCTTGAACTTTCAGAGATCTGCCTACTTCTGCCTCTCAAGTACTAGGATTAAAGATGTGTGCCACCACACCTGACAAGACAATTTTTAAATTTTTTTTAAATTTTACGTTATATGAGTGTATTGCCTGCATGTGTGTAAGTTCACCTGTGTCATGCAATGCCCATGGAGGTCAGAAGAAGGCATCAGATCCCCTAGAACTGGAGTTATGGACAGTTGTTAGCCGTCATTCAGATGCTGGGACTTGAACCCAAGTCCTCTGTGAGAACAGCCAGTGCTCTTAACTGCTGAGTCATCTCTCCAGCCCTGACGACTTTTTTTAAATATACAGCATCTACAACAGAATTGGCATATCGTAGAGTTACCTAAGCAAGTGTCAGGTGCGGAGGTAGCTACTCCTTCCAATAATCAGAAGGAAGAAAACGCGTTTCAGTGGAATCTGCTTGCTGTGTTTCCAGTCAGCCACATCGTAGCAGCAAGAATACTTGTTTCCATGTGGCCTTCGTGTCCCCAAGGCCTTGATGCTTTCCTTCTCTTATTCAGAAGTGGCAATTTTGAATGACAGTACAGAGGCCAGAAGTCCATCTTGCCACCTTTGAGGGACTTTGAGTGCCCACTTTCTGTCAGTTTTTCTAACAGAGTGTCAATGGTAACCCATGCCAGCTTCTCAAGATAGTAAGAGGCCACGGTGAGGACATCAACAAGGTGGACAAACACACCCATCTCATCTACCTCAGCTTTGGGAATGTTACCTCCGTGTGTCCTCAGGCTTCACTGCCTGAGCCATCGCCCCAGCTCACATGGGGCAATGTGAGTTGATTTTGGGGTGCAGGGATGGAGTGGTCTTTTTGAGACAGGGTCTCCCCATGGCCCCGACTGGCCTGGAACTCGCTATGTAAACCAGGCTGGCCTCCATCTCACAGAGATCCACCCTCCTCTGCCTCCCAAGTGCTGGGATCACACCAGGCTCTTTGAGTTGATTTTTGTGTAAGCTGGAAAGACTATGTTTTGCATGTTGTATTCATGTTGTGGTACATTTTGGGTTAATTTCTGTATAAAATGTGAAGTCTACGCCTGGGTCTGTTTTTGTGAGTGTTCTTTGTTGGGTACCTCTGGCCCCTTTGTCAAAGGTCGGGTGACTGTGTGTGTGCGTCCATTCCTGGGCGCTCCACTCCGTCCCATTGACCCCCATTCCTGGGCGCTCCACTCTGTCCCATTGACCCCCATTCCTGGGCGCTCCGCTCTGTCCCATTGACCCCCATTCCTGGGCGCTCCGCTCCATCCCATTGACCCCCATTCCTGGACGCTCCCTCCGTCCCATTGACCCCCATTCCTGGGTGCTCCGCTCCATCCCATTGACCCCCATTCCTGGACGCTCCTCTCCCCTCCCATTGACCCCCATTCCTGGACGCTCCGCTCCGTCCCATTGACCCCCATTCCTGGGAGCTCCACTCTGTCCCATTGACCCCCATTCCTGGACGCTCCCTCCGTCCCATTGGCCCACGTGTCTTGCCACGTGCCTCCTCTTTTGCTGATATCCTGCTGCTTCGATAACTCATTGGTACACAGTGAATTTAATAATCACTTGTATGAACCCCCAACTTTATTCTTCCTCAGAGCCATGTTAGCTATTCCATGCAAACCTTAGACTCTTGTCCACACTGAAAAGTAGCTTGCAGGGATGTCCATGAGAATTGTATTAAATCTACAGACCAAGTTGGGACAAACTGACATCTTAATTGTGCGTTATAGTCACAAACAGCTTATTTTTCTGTTTAGCTATTTGAAGTTGACGTTGCGTCACCCCTCTCCACCTGTGTCTCCCGTTTGGATCACCTTGCCGACCTGCCAGTGCTGCTGCTGCCCTTCCTCTGTGGGGTTCAGTGTGCTGTCACACGTGTGACATGATTTCACTTCTACTTACTTATTTTTAATATTTGATTACTTTCATTTTTGTGTATGAGCGTAATGCCTACATGTGTGTTAGTGTGCCCATGTTGTGCAATGCTCTCAGAGGTCAGAAGAGGGTGTCAGATCCCCTGGAACTGGAGTTACAGACAGTTGTTAACCACCATGTGGGTGTGCTGGGAATCAACCTGGGTCCTCTGCAAGAGCAGTTAAGTGCTCTTAACCGTTGAGCCATCTCTCCAGCCGTCACTTTTATTTTTTTGTGACAGGGTCTCACATAGCCTTGAACTTGCTATGTAGCTGAGGATGACCTTGAACTCCTGATCCTCCTGTCTCTACCTCCTGAATGCTAGGGTTGGAGGTGGGTCCCAACAGGCTCAGTTCCAGTTTACTCAGTTCTGTGTGCATTTCCATCTTGGCCTTTCCTGTGGCTTCCATTCATCTAGCAAAGGAGCTTGTAAGCTTTCCACCTCTTCTGTAAGACTCTTTAGCTTGGTTACTAGAGCTTGCACAGGCTGCTGCTGCTGACATTGGAGTCCCCACAGAGTCTACTCTTTTGATCATTTGGGGTTCCCTCTGGTTTGGTTTGTTTTGTTTTAGGGTTTGGATTTTTTTTTTCTTTCTTGGAGACAGGGTCTCATGTAGCCCAGGCTAGCCTCAGACTCACTGTATAGCTAAGAGTAGCCTTGAACTTCTGATTCTCCTGCCTCTACCTCCTAAGTGCCACATCTGGTTTATGAGGTACTAGGAATGGAACCCAGGACTTTGTGCGTGCTAGGCAAGCACTCTACCAACTGAGCTACATTCCAGACCCCTGGAGGTCCGTCTTGACTGTGGGCCGTATGTACCTGCTTCTCTGTGGGATGGTCCCTACCGATTCTCCTGCTCACCTACTGGCTTCACCACCGAAAATTCCCTGAAGGTGTGTGAGCAGGAACCACACTGGGTGCCATCGCCTTCTGTGTCAGGCTCCCCAGGATCCTGATCCCTCACAGCAGCCCATACTCTGGTACCCAGCTCATTGTAGCTCTCCAGCTTGTGACCAGCCTTGCAGCACAGGCTCCCCTCCTGTGCCAGGCCTGGTCACTCCTCTGTGGGAAGGGAAGCGGTCATTGTCTGGGATCTAGTCTGGGTTTCTCTGTATCCTTAGCTCCCTGGTGAGTTTCTAGTTCTCCTGTGACGGCTTCAAAAGCGTATGCACCTTGGTAGGTTGGGTGCCATAGTTTGCAGATGCACTTTGCTCCCTATTACATGTCCTTCTAGTCCATGGGCACTGGAAGTGTGTCCCTTGAGGTCCCAGATCCAGTGACACTGTCTCTATTCTTGAGATGGACACACCCCACAGGGCAGCCCATGCTCAAGGATCCTACCTTCTGACCCCTTACTTCCCTTGCAAGCCTAAGGGGTCATCTCTCTTTTCCCTGGAGCTCAGATTTGCCCTTAAAAGGATTCTCTCAATGGCACCACAAGATTGAGGGTGAGGGGGTGGAGCCCACATTGGCCTCATAGTGAATCAGACCTGGTTTGTAATATCCTCATGTGTTGAATGAATGGCCTTCCACATCACCAACTGCAAGGAGCACCCAGTGTTGGCACCTCCAGCACCCTCTGTGCTGACTGTGCCAGATGCCAAGCATAGACAACTCTGTTTCCTCCTCCTCACAGGTCTGTGGGGAGCCTCAGGCACAAACCAGGTGGCCAGGCTTGACCTTCCCTCTCCCAAACCCCACTCCAGATGGTTGACAACCTGTCCTGATCCCTCACAGCAGCCCATACTCCAGTACCCAGCTCATTGTAGCTCTCCAGCTTGTGACCAGCCTTGCACCCTCCCCTAGCAGCCTCCCCATGTGTAGTGGAGGGATGGGGGAAGTGGCCTTGCACCTACAGCAGGCAGTAAGCTACAGGAGTTGAGGTGGAGGCTGCCAGTAGGGGAGTCCTCTGCCTGCAAAAGACCTGCTTTTCCCTAAATGAGCCTATTTATTCCTGGCTGGAGCAGCCTTCAGTGGGTGTAGTCAAGGGAAGTAGGCAGAGCCTGGGTGGGTGGGGAAAGACCAGGAGGGAGGAACAAAGTGGCCTTGCACCTACAGCAGGCAGTAAGCTACAGGAGTTGAGGTGGAGGCTGCCAGTAGGGGAGTCCTCTGCCTGCAAAAGACCTGCTTTTCCCTAAATGAGCCTATTTATTCCTGGCTGGAGCAGCCTTCAGTGGGTGTAGTCAAGGGAAGTAGGCAGAGCCTGGGTGGGTGGGGAAAGACCAGGAGGGAGGAACAAGAAGATAGGGGATCCTTTCCCACTTCCACTCAAGCCTAGAAGGGAGGGG